CAGCTCACTGACCCCCAAACTCAATGCAACTGCACCTCCAGTGAGTCAAAGTGGTGGGACCCCAGACAGCTCAGCAAATTGTGGTGGGATCTCAGCAAGTCGCGGCGGGACCTTGGATGGTTGGTAAGTCACCTTAATTTCTTCTTGGGATGAGAGAATTCATCTCCCTCTGTTTGGGGCTTCCCACTCTGTACTATGTTGAATTCTAAGTTGACTATTTCAAGGAGCCTCTGTAGCCAGTTGTTATCTATCTGTCTTCTTTGCTCCTCCCTGTGTTTTCCCTTAAGTGTCCACAGAGGGCCAAAGCAAAGGCCAAGGCGAGTGCCGCCTCTGCTTCCTCTTCAACTGGATCCCACTAATAGAAGCAGCTGTGGAGGCTGCCACTCCAGCTGCGGAGACGCCTACCAAAGCCACCTGAGCAGGTCACAGGCTGGCACTGCAAACCTCTTCTCTTAAGAGTTCACAAGCTCTCACAAGCTATTTTTTAATTTTAAAGATAATGAATCCCAACAAAACAAAACAGAATAAAGCCAATCAAAACAAAACAGTGAAAGTGGTACAGAACTTTGAAGCAAGGTATAGGAAATTAACAATGGCTATTCTAGTGTATCTTATTTTTGCAATAGTTGTCAGTTCTATCAGACATAGTATAATCAAATAAAACAAAACAGCAATAAAACCAATCAAAACAAAATGCTAAATAAAGCAAATAAACTGGAACAAAATAGAACAATATTGGATTTAAAAAGCAAGACAGAATGAAATCCCTTATATTTGCTATATTGCATACTGTTATCCTTCTAACAGATGCTCAGACCACTGGCCTCAGCCCCTCTAAGTCAACCAAACAATAGAAGCATTGAGTTGCTTTTGTAAGTCAGTTGCTATCAACTCAGCCTGTCCTCCAAACCAGCTTTGTTGCTTCCAAGGTCTTGATTCCGAGCCCATACACTGGTCAGCTCATGGGAGGGGGGATCTGTTTTCTGTCTTCCTGGGCCCCAATGACTTGTGCAGCTTATTGGAAAGGCAAATGAGTTTCTTCTTGATTTTGATGTGATCCTTACAGACCCAGGATGGCTTCTGCTCACTTCTGACATTATTATGTTAATGTTATACCTTTCCGGCACAGCTTTAAGATCTTTTCTATGTTACAAAAAATAATCTAAACCCCTTTTATCTCTTTTCCTTGGCCACCAAGAAGTATCTGTTGATAATGTTGACCTGGAAAGACTCATTTGATATGTGCTGTGGTACATGGCAACTTTTATCCCAGCCTGTAATCCCAGCATTTAGGAGGCTTAGGCAGGAGGATGCCACAAGTTTGAGGCCACCTTGGGTTGCACGGTGAGTTCAAGGGCAAGTTGAACTACAGAGTGAGACCCCACCAAGAAAAAAAAGGAAGAGCTGAGCTCTTGAGGCATCATCACTCAGACTATGGAAACAGAGCCTGGCTGGGTGACTCTGGAGGAAACTGGGTCTTTAAACATAAAAGGGTAGTCTTCAGGGGTTTAGCTCAGTGGGGTAAGTTCCTGCTTGACAAACACAAGGTCGTGAGTTTGATCCTTAATACCTAAAAATAAATAAATAAATAAATAAATAAATAAATAAATAAATATTCCACTACACCTAAAGAGGTAAGCACGACTTGTCTTTGTGGGCAGAAAACGGGTAAAAAGAAAGATTTTCAAGAGTAAATTTCATGCTGGGCGTGGTGGCTCACACCTGTAATCCCAGCACTCAGGAGGCTGAGGCAGGAGGATCCTTGGGAGTTCAAGAGCAGCCTAGGCTACAAAGTGAGCTCAAGGCCAGCCTGAACTGTACAGGGAGACCCTGTCTCAAAAAGACAGAAACAAACAAACAAAAAGTAAATTTCATTCTTTCGTTTTGATTGGTTTTATTCTTTTGTTTTGTTTGATTTTATTATGCCTGATGGTATGGACAGCTATTTTGAAGAAAACAAGACACATTATAGTAACCATTGTTGATTTTCTATTTTCTTGTTCTGAAGTCCTGTATTGCCTCCATTGTTCTGTTCTGATTAACTTTATTTTCTTTTTGTTTTGGTTTTATTCTCTTTAAAATAAAAAAAGAATAAATTTGACAAATATTCCAATATTGCTTACTGTGGAACAGGCCCTTTCATGCTTTTTAGAAGTTTTCACTCATTTAACTTAATCCCCACAATAGCTGTGCAGTCTGTACTTGTTTTCTGGTACAACAGGTGAAGTCCTGCTTCATTGCAAGGGAGAACTAATCAGTCATCATGTTACCATGTGATGGGCAGGTACATTCCAGGCTTTTGTATAACAAGCAAGGCAGTGCCAAGGATAACCCAGTAGCAAGTGGTAAACAGCTACATTTGTTGAAGATCACAATAAACTGTGTTTAGGGTAAGTCCGTGCCAACAAAAGGTGCCAGAGAGAAAGATGGTTGCAGGGGTGAAAGAAAAGCAAAAGCACTGCACACAAGTCATGGCACCCAGAAGCAGCAGCAGCCACCTGCTCTGAACCAGGCTTTGGGAACTGAAAGGCCAGTACTTCAGCCCTGGTGCCTGCCCTAAATCTCTAGGTGTGAATGACAGGAATGACAGACAGGGAGCTGGGCTCTCAACACGCCTGCTTGTCTAGGAATTCACTCTGATCTTAATTGCATGTATGTTATGGAGTACATATTTTTGAACTCTTACGAAGGTTTGAGCCCGGTGAAGGTGACTGAAGGCCAGCTAGGGGGGCCAACACACATGTGCTTGGCACCAAGAGCATCAGACAACTCCTGGGTTTTTGTTATTTCATTTTCTGCCTCTCAGGCCAATGGAAAGAGGAATGACCAAAAACGAGGAAGACAGTGACTTCCTCACTTCTACCGTGCCTAACTGTATTATTAACAAGTACTATGTGCGTTCTGCAACACCCTCCCCTCTGTCCCTATTTCCGGGTCCCCAGTCTCTCTCTCTTTTTTTTATCGGTACCAGCCTGCTTGCAAGGCAGGCACTTATGCCGCTGAGCTAAATCCCCAGCCCTCTTCTTAAGGACTCTGCAGTGTCCTCAGTGTTCCTGGCACCTTCTTGGAAGTTTAGGGCTTGGAAAGTCACTCTGAGCCCGAGCTGCTGGCCAGGGAGAGGACACATTTGAGCTCTCATGGATGGATGATTCAGATCTCCAATCATTCCTGCTTTGATTTCTTGATCTTCTCTCTCACCTTTTGTCTTGTGTCTACTTCATCTATCTGGCATCTGTGAGTACCGACACACACCCTCATCCCCATGCCCACCCCGAGGAAGCCCCACTTGCTCATAAGGGCAGTCCTTCTAGGATTTCAGAGCTGTGGCCTGTAGACAAAAGGGATGAGATTAAAGTTAGGAGAGAAACCAACAGCAAACACCTACACAACCAGGCACAACTGACATAGATTTATGGTATCTTAACATAAGACTAGTCCTCAATGTTTATGACATCAGTACTTTCCTCTTAGTTTTATAGTAAAGTTTCTTTTTTAAAAAAGCAAGCTTGCCAGTCATGGTGGCTCATGCCTGTAATCCCAGCACTCTGGAGGCTGAGGTGGGAGGATCATTGCAAGTTCGAGACCAGCCTGGGCTACAAAGTGAGCTCAAGGCCAGCTTGAACTGCTTAGGGAGACCCTGTCTCAAAAAGACAAAAAAAAAAAAAAATAAGCTTGCCTGAGAAGGGTGGTCCTCTGGTAGGCCACCAAATGTAAGGAGCTCTTGCTAGACAAGTGGCAGGATGGTAATACTTTTGTTGAACTGGTACAGAGGTGAAAAGTCAAGGGGGTTGCAGCGGGCAATATCACAATTTCTGCATCCTTAACCATGCATGGATTTCTTTTGCTTGTTTACCCCTCTTTCTGTGTTGCTCCAGTTTGTATTTTGAATTTTTCTGAAACTTCTAAAAAATGTTACAAAATTATGTCAGTACCTTTCACATTAAATATCCAATTAGTTGGAGAAGTTCATTAGATTGAAAGTCTTCCAGACAGCAGAACGAATTAGAACTTGGTGATTCCATAATGGGATGGATGATACTCTCTCCCTTACTAGATACTGTGGCTTGGCATCTCACCTAGTTATCCAGTTCAGTCCCATAGCTTTGCAAGCTGTATTACACGTGTGATTTGAGGGTTGAGAAAAGAGAGCTTCAGAGGCTAGTGGCTTGCCATGGGTCTCACAGTTAAATAAATAAACGGCCTGGGTTTATAAACTCAAGTGTTTCAGGCTGCACATTTCACAGCACTACCTCAGATATCATTTAAAGTGTGGCTAGCCTGCAAAGAAGGTATCAAATTTGCTAGTACAGTAGTTCAATCGGGAAATGCTGAGCAAATGATTGTAGGACATCCAGCCACTTCCTGCAGGATTAGCTGAAAAAAGAGACACATGAACACATATATTGGAACAAATTAATACGGCCAAGGACTCAGAGGAATGTAGCTAGAAGAGAGCTTTAACAAAGGGCAACCCTGGGCCCTGGTGCATTACCCCACCGGAAGGGCTTTCCTGTTAAAGCAGGTGGGTGGCAGCGCTCAAGGGCCTACTGGTGCACCGGTCTACAGGCGGACACCCGGTGTTCTCCTTCAAAAGGGGAAGCAAATTCTAGCGCAACGGCTAGACACAGGCCCACGCCGCATCACTGATGTGTGTCCCTATAGCGACAGCATGATAGGGGTGTCATTACTCAGTAGGGACGTGTATCTAGTTCTCCAGGTATTTAGAGAGGGAAATACACCACCAAAGTCCCTCCTCGGGTCACCTTTTCCTGTCTAGGTACACCATCCTTAATTACCAACCTTCAGGGCAAAACGTGCCCCAGGCTCAGGATGCATTTGCGAACCGCCCGCCGCAGGGTCCCCAAGGGCGGGGGTGAAGGTGGCAGGGTCTGCAAGGTGGGGAGAGGGTGGGGAGGAGGTGGGGAGGGGTGGCGCGGCGCGGGCCAATCAGGACACGCGGCGTCTCCGCCTGGGCTCCAAGTTTCCCGCGGCCCCCGCACAGCGCCGCCTGCCGGGTTAGGCGCGAGCGAGCGGGCGGAGCCTGCGGGGGTCTTCGGGCGCGGCTCCCCGGCCTTCAGGGCCCGCCCCGGCCCGGGAGCGGCTCCCACGCATTCGGCTTTCCCCTCCTCGCGCGCCGGGCCGCTCTTCTTGGGCCCGAGCGGGGGCGTCGCCGCAGGCGGCGGGCGGGAGGCGGGGATGCCGCTGGCGCCGTCGCCCTTGCGGCCGGGCGGTCAGCAGGCGGCGGCAGAAGCCGGAGCGTGCTTGCCGCTGGCCGGGACGCCGCCCTGGCCAGCGCTGGGCGCCCGCGGCGGCCTCAGGGCCCCGGGGCCCTGCGCGGCATGAGGTGGAGGCCGCGCGCCGCCGAGCGCCCAGCCCCTCAGGTCCCCGCGCGTCGCGTGCGCCGGCTGCGGCCCGGGCACCCACGCTAGCCCCGCGCGGGCACGAGACGCGCGGCCCAGAGGGACGCCGAGGGCGGGCGGCGGCGCAGGCCCGACCCGAGCCCCGCCGGAGGCTCGGGCCCGGCCCCTCGGCACCTGCGGCCCCACCTTGGGCCGGGCGGGGCGCACGCGCGAGCTCGGCCTCCGCGGCCCCGCGCCCCCCGGCCCGCGCCCTTCGCGCCTCTCCTTACCCCGACTGCCCGGCCTTCCATTCATTCCGCCGCCCCTCCCCTCCTCTCCCGGTCCTCACTTCCCGGTCCCCTGCGCCTGCTTTGCGGACTCCACTGCGTCCTCGGGGCTCCTGGCACCTTCCTGCAAGTTTAGGGCCTGGATAGTCGCCCCGGGTCCGGCCTGAGAGCGCAGCCCGAGCTGCTGGCCGGGGAGAGGACGATGTCTGTGCTCCGGCGGATGATGCGGGTCTCCAATCGCTCCCTCCTCGCCTTCATCTTCTTCTTTTCCCTCTCCTCGTCTTGTCTGTACTTCATCTATGTGGCTCCAGGCATCGGTGAGTACCAAGACACACCTTCACCCCCACCGTCACCCCCAAGAAACGCAGGCTGTCTGAGGACCGCTACTTCTGTGGTTGCGGAGCTAGGTTCCCTGGGGCTTGCAGAAGGCATGTGATTTGAACTGTTATTTTAGATCCAGTGCTTGGGGGCATGGCATTGCGGTGTGAGTTTTGTTAATGTGCGCCTAAATAACTTAAAAGGTTGCATTACATGGATATCTGTAGCAAAATCCGGTGTGATGGCCCAGGGTGCTCTCATTGCTTTCTGGAGTATTCATGACAGCTTTATCCATTTAATATCAGTGTCTAAGCTTAAGCTCGCTGCCTAATTGTACTTTTATTCAAACATCTTCAGGTCTGACGACTGGTTGTAGAAATACAGAAAACCTAGCAGCAGGGAATGTGATCTGGGCCGAGGGTGTACGCAGTGTAGTGTTCTAGGTCATTTCTTTAGAATGGAGTCAGTGAACAATTGTGCCATACTTCAGGAAATTTTAGGGGTGGAATTGTCCTATCAGAACAGTGTTCTGTTGTTTCGTCTGCTTTTCAAGGGTAGGTTGTCTCTGCTACCTGTTAAGGTGACTTCTAAGGTAAGCTGGCGATTAAAATAAATATGCGAGACGAACTATAGCTTGAAATTGTAATGTTCTCTCAGGCGCTTTTGGTCTTTGGTCCAAAATACCCCAGTGTACGATGTAGTTGAATGGGCTTTTTTATTAAATGTCCTAATTCTTCATTCCTCCTATTGCTGACAAGTACTGTACCATGGCATTTTTCTAGTGATGAACAGAAAATCAGCATTTCATGTGGATATTAAAAAACATCACAGTTTAAAAACTTCTGACTTTCTCTGGATCTTGATATTTAGTGTTAGATTCCTTAGTGACAATATGTGCATCTCTGATCATTTTTTGTTGGACACTAGTTGTCTTTTGAGTCAGTGCCATTTTCCTGAGTTAGCCAAAAATGTGTTGGCTGATCCCTTCTCAGAGGGAAAACACCTGCAGAATTTTGAAATGGAATTCCTAACAGGGCATTGTTTTGGGTGTAATGAGTTGTATTGTAAGAAATTATAGGGAAGAAGGAAGAAGTAGACTTCATCCAGTCTAAGAAAAATCAATGGCTTTTTCAATATTAAATATTTAGATTCAAGTAAGAAATAGACACTGAGGTAATGATGCTTAAAGTGTGACTTGCTGACACCCTGTGGTATCCCCAAATAGAAGTTTTAGGGTAAAGTTTGAAGAAGTGTGAATATTTTACCATTATTTTTCTTTAACGAAGTTTTTTCTTTAGGCAAACAATAACAAAACCAACCTCTAGAAGCCTGAAACACTAATGACAATGCTTCATATATTCACATGAATCACATCTGAGACAAAATTTTGTTATGGCTGAAATACGTGTTGTGTAAGAGTAGTTTTCATTGGTCCTAAATATGTTTCAAGTATCTTCTGGTAAGTCTGTATTAATTATACCACATCAGCTAGTTTAATAGATGTCAGTTTTATTTTCCTACTTTTTTGTCATTCTGTGGGTTTGATACAGTATTATCCAACTCATTCAGCAAAGCCTTTTTTCGTTTTTCTTTTTTTTGTGACAGCTTTTCTTAAAAAAATTTTTTTTTTTGTCTTCTTTTGGAAATTTTATAATGTAACTTCTCATTCTAGAGCAATCTTGCTTTCTAATTTAACTCTGGAAAAGTTGGATATCTTTGGTAGATGTTATTTGACCAGCAATTTAACTTTGCAAGATTTTGGAGAAGGTTTAGTTTTGTATTTGTACAACAATTTTCTTGCTTACTTACTTTGTATTTTGAGTAATGTGATAAAGTTACATTACTCAAAATCTTAACGAAAGGAAATCAGAATTCTAGGTTTTACCATGGTGGTAATCCTATTTTTTTCTGTTTTCTCTTACAATGATTTTAAAATTTTTTTGACCCCCAATGTATTGATTTTATTGATTTATTTTTCAGAGACTTTTTTTGTGTTAGAATTTCTACAAAATTTTCACTATTCCAATGTACATTAAGTAAACTCGTTTAAGCAATCAGAATGTAAACCTTCATGGGATTTTGACACAATATTTAAGAGATTGTCCGTACTTGTAATCCTAGTACACTGGGAGGCTGAGACAGGAGGATCTCGAGTTCAAGATCAGCATGGGCAACTTGAGATCTTATCTCAAAATAAAATTTTTTAAAATTTTAATCTGTAGAGTTAAAATTCAGTGGATGTGAAATACTAATACATTCTGGTTTAATACGTATGATTTAAATTGTGTCTTTGAGTATAGATTTAATTTTAAAAAGTCAAAGCCTATAAGAAATATAGGTTAAACCAATGCATATGTATAAATGCTGTGAATTTGTTATACCAACTCTATTTCCAAAATCCTGTGGTACAGAAAAAACAAGAAAGAAGAAGCCTTCTTATTTATCTCCTATATGTATCTTCACGCACTGGGAAGTAGTTTTCCAAAATTCAGATTTTTGTTTAAAAGCCTGATTTTTTTTCATTGGCATTGCATTTTGCCAGTTTTTCTTGACAAGTCAGGATCACTTTCTTCATTTTTGAGATGCATAGGGAAACCTCACCATGATGTGTCAGGTGCTCTGACATCCCATGGAAGTGTGGCTAGTGGAGCGCACATTGCAACAGCCCGTTGTGCAAGCGGTTTTCCTTAGGACGGCCATGCTCCACTGCTGTGCAACAGAAATGCTTCATGTCGACTTCACATTTTATCATGGGTGTCTTACAGTTTTCATCAGATGTAGAACTTCTTCTTGAAATGCTTTATATTTTGTCCTGATTTATATCTCGGGGCACAGTTTCCTTGTGAGTAAAATATGTGTTGTGTGGAAGTAACTTTTTATTGATCTTACATAGCAGTTATTTCAAGGCTCTTCAGGTAAGAAGTTCTCAGGAATCCTACCACATCCACCTGTTTGGTGGATGTCAGTTACATCTCCCTGGTATTTAGGTACAAACATCTGGGTGTGTCCTTTCTTCCTGGTATTTAGGTACAAACATCTGGGTTTGTCCTTTCTTCCTCAGGAAGGCCCTCCATCGTTTTAATTAACCTTCCTTGGTCTCCTTCCCTGAGTGGTTACACCACATGATTGTAGACAGTGCTGTATGTTTAGTTTTCAATTTCTTACCTTGTTCAGCATTTTTGGGGATTTTTGGATCTTAATCTACAGGGATTTCATGGGACTCAAGTTTGTTTTTTTATGAATAACATTTCATTTCCCTTTGAGTTTTCCAGGTCATGCAGGAAATCAGAGGTAGTCTTTACATTGTGAACCTTAGTACTCAGGGAGACTGGACAGCAGGTGTCCTCCCCTCCTTTCTAGAAGTCGATGGATGCGTGGTATTTGCTGACCCGGCAGAGGTATAGGTCGTTCTCATTCTGTGTCTTTGTGCATGGTTGCAGAAATGAGTGCAATTTTGATGTGGCTGGATTGAGACTAGAGTAGCTTTTAGCACCACAGTGCTTTTCTGCCATCGTATCAGGAGAAGGCAAACTGACTTATAAATTCATTCAACAGATAGGACTGGAGCTTCCAGGGTGACTGGACAGCAAGGTGTGGAAGATGAGAGAGAGGTCACTAACACAGTCATCCTGGGACCAAGTCCCATAATGAGGCTGCTGCAGACCCTTGGAAAGTTTGTGGAGTGAGGGCTGCTGGTTGGAGCAGGCAGCAGCTGGGAGCTTTTTTCAGTTGAGCAAAGGGATTCTGGTCAAAGGGAACAGCTGCATGAAATTTCTAGAATGTGGAAGTACCTTGCTTCCGTCTTAGGATGTGTGGTGGCAGAGAAGCCACACTGAGTAAAGTTTCCGGGTGTCTCAAGCTTATCTAAACCTTCTGTGGTTAAGAAAGTAATCAATGGGGCAATATCTTCAGGGAGATTGCGTAACTGCCCCCAGAGTGGGGATTTCACAGTCCCTTGGACTCCCTGGAGTCCCTGACCTTTGCTAGACAACTGACAGGCTGAGCTGTTGTTTGGGTAGGAGTATAATCATGCGGGGACACTTTGCTCTGGATTCCTTCCTGTCCTTGGAGGACTTACCTGATGAAGGGATTGGTTGAGTCTCCAGGGGAAACTTGAGTATTGCTGATGGTGCTTTAGGCATGGGCCATACTGGTGTATGTACCACCCTGTGGAGCCTGGGGGAGGTGGCTTAGTCAGGTTTCCCCTCAAAGTAACTGACATTTTTATTGAGTTTTTCACTGGATTACCTCAGAAGTTAGCTATTTGTCCTCTGGCTGTCTTATAAAAAAATCCTTTAACCTTCAAGCACTGGCTAGAAGAGCCTGGTTCTGTTCTTTTTTAACCATTTCAGTCTGCTTTGTTTCAAAGGTCCTTTTGATTTTTTCCTCACCAAGCATTTTGATCTACCTGACACTTTGCCTGGGGTTCTTGTGATTTGGGCTGTGGTGCTGGTCATTTTTACTCTCTGGGTGTTTTAATTTCTTGTCTCTTGTTCCTGAAACAAAATACGCAACACTCAAAGTTAAAGGAGGAAAGTTTTATGTAGCTGACACTTTGTGGAGGTTTCAGTCCATAATTGGTTGGCTTTAGGCAGGGTGGCACATGGCAGAAGGGAGACAGTTCATGGTGGCAGAAGACAACAAAAGCAACAGCCAAACCTTACCACTATCTTTCTGCCCCTCTTGTAGCCTATACAGGCTGCTAGAATTAGGGTGGTGCCAATCTAGTCAGTGGACTGATCAAGCAGTCACCTTACAATCCCAGCAACTTTAATCCCAGTGTGGTACCACCAGTCAGTCACATTCTAGATTCAGCTGTCTCTGAAAAATCTCTAACCACACGAGGCTTTGGAGGGCCATCTAGACACAAACTATAAAACTGGACTTCTCTTACTGGTCATGAGTCCCATGCAGTTGTTTATCCTGTGAGTAGCTGAAGTTTTAAAAAGGGAAATGATGCAGTTTTTGTTTTAGAGTAATGTGTCTTTCATGAAAGATGGGTATAGAGGGCAGGACCAGTGACAAGGATGAGTAACTGAAGCAATAGAAGGTGAGCTCTGGATTAAAGTGGACAGTTGGCGTTAGGGTGGAGTGAGCCATGTGAATAGTGCGAATGGAGGAAAGGTAAGGTGGAATTCCACTCTTTTTGTTTTGTTTTGTTTTGTTTTGGTACTTGGGATCAAACTCATGACCTTGCGCTTGCAAGGCAGGTTCTTATGCTGCTGAGCTAAGTTCCTGGCCCCCTTGAATTCCAGTTTAAGCAGCCAGATAAATAATAATATAAAAGGGGAGTGTGGAAAGCTGTCTTTTTTGAGGGAGCTGTTTTTGGTTTTAGAGGATTTGAGTTTAAACATCTGTGAAATATCCAGGAAGAATTTGACAGTCAGTAGACAGATGAAAATAAGGACTTAAAGTACCAGAGGGAGGATTAGGTACTTTCTGCACTTGAGTCAGTGATGGCCAACCTATGGCACGTGTGCCTCAGCAAGCTGTTTGTATCTTTGACAGCTCCAAAGAGTTTGCCATCACTGAGTCTTAGGGGAGTGACACTTCTCTATTCCTCCTCAACACAGTAGAGTAGGAAACTCACTCCGAAAGTGGGAGGGACTCACCGTTCTCACTCTTACACAAGGCATTAGAGGTTCAGCAGAAGGTGCAGGAAAGATTCCCAGTGTCGTTTGGAAGCATCTTGGGAACTTCGGCCCCTCTTTCCCTCCCCTGCCATGTCAGGAAAGCATCTGCAGGTCAGGTCCACACGAGGGGAGGCCAGGCCTTCTGAGTATGTATCCCTGCAGTTGATGACTGTTCTGGAACCACATGTGTGACTCAGCTCTGCAGGGTCAGTGTAAATTAATCTATGTCCTGCGGCCTTGTGGGAAATTAGGTAACTTATTGATTTGCTGCAATCTGGTGGTGCTAAGTGACTTTCTCCACCTTAGTCTTATATGAATATAATTGAGATGTGGTCAGACATTATGGCAGAGTGAAATAGTGATGTGTTTACTCTGCACAGTGTTTATCATTTCTGCTTTTAGTGCTTATTGGAGATAAAAGCATTTGTGTATGTGGATGCATATAAAAGAGAAACTCCTAATCCTAGGTGTGTAGTGCCTGTAGATGATGGATATTCCAAACACTGCCTGGAATTTTGTTGAGGAGAAAATAGATCTTCCTTTTGAGGGAGTAGTATGTATGTTGACTGATTTCCTACCCATCCAAGCTTGCTTTCAGGAGCATATTTCCCAAGTCTTCTCTGCAGACATCCTGATTCTGATCATTTATAGTACACTCCATTCTGTGACAAGCCTGCTTATTACAAGGTATATGACAGAGCTTCTAACCGTGCTAGTTCTAGGCTTTATGTTCTGGCTGCTGTTCTCTGACCACAGCCCCAGCCTTTGCCCTTCTGTGCAAGGGCCCCAGGCGAAAAGAACCTGGGAGACAAAGGCATTAGTGTCT